CTGTGATCCGGAGAAAAAGAGACCCCCGGGCTACAGCCATAGTAACTGAGGGAGCAAAGTGTGGTGAGAACAGTCGGGAGGTTCACCAATCCCACACTGGCATGCTCTGTAGGCTGCAATGGGTTTGAATTTCTCCTAAAAGCCATGGGAAGCTCCAGCAGGGTTCCTAGCTGAGCGTAAACTGACCTGCCCTGTGCATTTACAAGTGAGGGAGATGGATCGCGGGCACAGGTAAAGCAGGAAGACCCGTTATGACGCTCCGCAGAAGCCCAGGCCAGCGTGGTTCAAGTGGCGCCTCCAGGGACAGAAGGGACACACATGGCTTTCCACTGCGTTTGGGGGGCAGGCTCCCAGGCCTGGGGGAAGTACTGGGCATGGGCAGTAAACCAGAAGGAGGCGCTGCAGGTTAGTTTTGGTTTTTAGGGTCTGAACCGTTGGATGAACAGCACACGTCTTACTGAGAGGAGGACGACTGAAGGGAGAAATAAACTTAGGAGGGAAATTGAAAGTTTCATGTTGGACGTACTGAACTGATACTAAGTGCGGGCATTCAAAGGTTTACTGTGGAAAACTGATCATAAAAGAAAGAACCACAGGTAATAGTAACAATAGCTAATAATCACGGAGGTCACCGACCATGTGGTTATGCAATCCCCACACTCTAAGGACGTTCCTCTCGTGATCTCCATTTTACAGATGACGATGGTTAAGGTACATGGCGGTCAAGTTACCTCCCCAAATCTCACGTTGCTAAATGGCAGACTCAGGACACAAATCCAGGCAGTCTGACTCCAGAACCTAGTCTTCTAATCTCTGGGTCATAAAAACTGATGACCTGGTGCCACGAAAGCAATTAAATCCTACTTATTTCTAAATAAAACCAACAGGAAGCAGACAGCTCTCCACTCATTACATGACAGATTCATTAAACACTGATTTTAGTAAATGACAATTCTGTGGCTGAAATAAAGTAACTTCTCTTAACACGGTTGCCACTACAGAAGTCATATCATGTCCTGGGCCCCGAAGAGAGATTACTGCTCGGCGGTGACTTCTGCCAGGGAGATGACCGAATGTCCGTGTAGCTCTCACCCACTTAAATCCACAGCTATCACTTCAGAAACTATTTACTGACCATCTACAGTGGGCCCAGCTCTGCGGAGAACAGGGGAACTACAACTCTCTGCCTTCACAGAGCTTCTCACGAGAGAGGGAGACAAAAATAAATGAATAGAAGCACCAAGTAACATACTCTGACATGTGCTGAGTGTGTCGTGAACCCGCAGGGGAACCCAGCCCTCGTGGGGGTATGGCATCGAGCTGAGGCCTGACAGGGAGGTCGGATTAAACCAGTGGGCAGCACAATGCTTCTCAGCCAGGGAAGAGAGGAAACATATGGAGCACTTTGGAAATGACACTGGAGCATCTAGCCATTTGACACAGGTAGCACGTCCCCAAAACTTCCAAAGCGAGCAATTACGGAGACAGCCTTTGACTGTTCTTCAGAGCAGCAGGCTTCTCTCTCTGCAGTGGCTCCCTGGGTAATCCAACCGACTGCCAAAACCAGCATCATTACGTGGGGTGACAGACAATACATGTCCAAAGCTGACCCAGTGATCACTTCAGCTGCCTACTCACTAGACTTCCCGCTGGATTTCATAGTTGCAGAAGAGACGCCACTCTGCCCCACAGCCTGCTGCTTCTCCTAGATTCAAACTCAGTGCCTGGTTCCCACCCCCTACCCCCGGCCCTGCTGCCTAAGCTGGGACTCGAAGCACCGCCTTCATTTTCTCTCTCACCCTACCCCTTAATTAGCACATCCGCCACCAGCCCCCGTGAGCTCCCCCTCCTTGGCAGGTCTCATTATCTGCCTTGCCCTACCCACTGTCACAGCATCCCATCAGGCCCTGCGGCCCTTCACTCAGACAACTGCAACAGGGTCTGCAGCGTCTTGCTGCCCTTGTCTTCAATCTGTTCCGCAGGCAGGTGCCAGAATAATACACAAAAATGCGCATTGGTTATTCCCTTGCTTTAAGCCATCCATGGCTCCCAACGGTTGGTTCGTGGGCTAAAGCCCAAACTCCCATGAAGCCCCTGGTATTTTATCTTTTCCTGCCGTCCGTCTCCCCTCCTCCTGACACCCCGTCTTTTCCTGTGCATCACAGTCCAAACAGTCCCAGCTGCTCACACCTGCGGACAGACACCTGTGCTCCATGCCGCCACGACTTCGCTCCCCTCCCAGCTTTTGGCTTCAGACGCCCCTCAGCATCTTTCTCACACCTTCACACCTCAGTTCATAGAGGGGCTTGTCTCTGAAGCTTTCTGTGATCACTCTGCCTCTGTCCCAAGTAGAACTGACGTCCTCACAGTGACTCCACCGGCCTGGTGCAAAGCCTGCCTATCTGGCTATCTCCTCACCACAGACACAATTCACAGACCAATCCTTGTCGTCACCATGAGCAGGTGTGGCAACTCAGTGTCGAAGAAGTGGAAAAGGCAGCTAAAACCACCTTTGCCCTCAGAATTTGTTTATGGTCACGAAATAAAACCTTTCCGTCCAAGTCAAAGGCCCTCCAAGGAGCCACCCTGGGGCTCATACAGCGGAAACCAGTGTCTGTAGCTTACTGGACCTCATTTAGAGGCCCCTTCTGAAGTCCGGTGCTAATTTGGTATTTTTAATTTTAGGTCTTCCTTTCCTAAAGGGGGGGGGGCTGAAAATTGTATGCATTTCATGAAACGCGCACCCACCTGTGGTTTCAGGCCCTGGATCATTATCTGTGGTCAAGAATTTTTGTAAACAAACTATAAAGAAAAGTCAACAGCGATTTGGGGCGGGGTGGCCGGTGGTGGCCCTGGCTTCCTCCTGGGCTGGCTGATTGCCTGTTGAGTGGGGGTGGCTTGATCCACCCCCACAGCACTTCCCTGGAGTAAAGGAGGATGGCTGGCCTCTGACCAAGAGCGTCCTACAGCTCTTGTGGGCCGCCTCCCACAGCCCCTCAAAGGGCAGTGAGTCAGGCAGCAGGGGAGGAGAGAGACGAGCAGTCCTTCACGAGAGCAGAACAACTTGGTTCTGAGCTACGGGCAGAGATGCATTACTCCGTGTCATCAGGCTCTCACACCAATCCATCCTGTGAGCTGACTGAGCTTCAGAGTAAACCGGTGTGTGTTGTGGTTGGGAAGCGAGGGCAGAGGGAAGTTGGAAGAAGAGAAAAAGAGAGGGAGGACATGTGACAAAGGCAAGGGACATGAGTCATGAGTGCAGTTTTTCCTGGTCCTCTGTGGCCTCCCCGAGCTTCGAGCTTCGAGAAAGGAATACTGGGCAGGGATCCGGGTCCACATTCCTTCTGCCTGCCCCGCCCACCTGCAGCATTTCCTTCAGGAGCCTGCAGGCTCTGGCATGACAGCTCTGTGACAGCAGGGAGGACGCGCAGTGCCAGAGCTGGCAGTGAGCAGGGCGCAGGGCGGCTGCGTCCGGTTCCTGGTTCTGTCCTGGGCAGGATTCAGGTCTTCCAAGGCCCCAAGTACAGACAAGGCGGTGGTGTCATCGCTGCTCCCATGATGTAATTCAGATAACGCGTTAGTATTGGTAAACGGCACGTAACTTACCTGCACGCTGGGTGAAGATAACCGTTTTTCCAGATTGTGTGATATTTACATTTTGGACAAGCTGCTTGGAGCGGACTTCCTTTCCCTGTCCCTGATCCTTGCTCGGTTTGCCCATTCCAACCCATCCCAGCTCTACTGATGGGCGGCCTGGGAGAGCCCCCTCAGCACTCTGAACCAGGCTGCTCATCCGTCAAGTTGGTGTTTCATATCCTTTAATCCTCAGGAGTCCCTCAGACATCATTCTCTTCCACCCTTCAAAACAACAATTTCAATTACTTCTGCTCTGGCTTGTCCATCTTACTCACCTGCACAGAGCAGAGAATTCCAGCCTGGATCAGAGCGGACATCCCAGGTGTGCAGTGACACATCTGGTTTTACTCATGCCACAAACATGTACTGAATGCCTACATTTAAAAGCTGCTTCGTGCCTGGTGCTGAGCGGAACAGACTCGCCCTGCCAGCGGCCGCGGCCATGGAGCCTGTGTCTGCTGCATATAGCTGTGGAGCCTGAAATCGGCCTGGGTGTCTGGTTTCCAGAACCTGCCCTCTTATCACAATCTAGAACGGTGGTGAGAACCTGACGCTGTAGGCAGGTGGCCTAGGTTCGAATGCCCCGTTCTGTCGCTTCCCTGTTTTGTGACCTTGAGCAAGCTTAACCTCTCTGTCCTGCTCTTTCCAAGAGCAAGTCCCCAGGCTCAAGGGGCAACTCCTGACCCACCTGACTTATCGTTATGACTGTTCCACTGCCAGAACTTGTGCTGCTGCTCCGCGTGGGGACTGCGGGCTCAGGGACTGTGACGAGCTGGCCCCCCAGCGCACGCCAAACTCTGGGCAGTCTGTGTCTGCTAATCAAGCAGCAGAGGAAAGAACAGGCGATCTTTCTGTCTCTCGTCTCTTATGCTTGGTATCTTGTGTCCTTATGTGTACTGTGTGTATGTACACACACACACACACACACTTATAAGCTGTTCACCTTCCTTGGACCTTTATCAGTGGGACCCTCTAAGGTCTGGGAAAAGGTGGGTTCCTGCAGAGGGGTTTCCGCCTGTTTCTGCCAAGTGCTTTGGCGTCGTAGGCTATCAGGCTAGGAACACTTGAAACTAACCCTGGGCTTGGTTTACTTCTGGTCCATCCTTACAGTAAGTGTACAGTCCCCAGCTGTCCCAGTTCATGGAGGGTGTGTCTTATTGAGGTTCCCAGGAGAGGCCAGCCCGGGGCTTTGTTTTCCATCCCCATAAAACTGCAAAGATAGAAAACTAACCCTCAGGCTCATCAAGGTCAGGAAATACCCTCAAAAGATGTACTCTGTGTACTTCTCTGGGTTCCCACCTTCGTTTTGACTCACGGCCTGAATATTCGAGCGCGTGGATACAACCAAGGTGTTTGTTTATTTATTTATTTCCAACCAACATTCTAAGTTGTTTCTGGCAGCAAGCTCCGTCTGGGCATCCAGTCCACCAGGCTGCCCTTCCCAGTTTGTGCCACTGAGACAAGGTGCCCGATCACCCTGCTTGGTGATCAGCCTCACACAGAGTCGAAGCGTTTGAATCAATGCGCTGAGATTCACACAGCAATGAGTCAGCACCATTAGCTTCTCCACTCTTTCTGCCTGAAGCAACAAAGCATTGCTACAGAAGAAAGAAAGATAAAGGAGACACAGTTAACCAAGAACCCTAATTTTGGCCCCTTAGAAGAAGGAGTCCCCGCCAGGAACGCCTGTTTCCATTGCCTCACCCTGTTGAGGAGTCGGCTGAGCAGGCCCTCACATTAGGACAGCTGATTGTTTACAAATGTTTGAACATTTCCTCACTGACCCCATGGGTGGGTGTGCCTTTGGAATAACAAAAGATGAATCAGCTAAATAAATTTCATTTTATCCTCATTTTGAAGAGATTATTGAGCAAGCAATAAAAACAGGGAAGTAGGATTATAGACCTGGATTCCAGCTTGTGAATTCTTTCCACAACACACATTCCCAGAGCCCCTAAAATAGAGAGTGAGACTATTAATCTGGAAGGGGAGAGAGATCACCTAATTCAACCCTCGCCTGTTACTGATGAGGAAACCAAATCCCAGAGAAGTCATGTGACCTGGGTAATGTCACACAATAGAAGCAATTCCAGGTCTTGTGATTTCTGGGAACTGATTCCTTTCAACTATACCATGCTGTCATGTAATATGCAGGCTCTATTTCACCAAAAAATGATAAACGTGTTTAATAAGCTTAGCAGATTTTGTAAACTTAAGTTTCTTTTGAGTACCCAATGACAGAGATTTATGAAAAACAAGCAAAAATAATCTACTGGAACTAAAAAACAAAACAAAACAAAAAAGCAACAGTTAAATACACTTCCATTACATGGTGTAGGTTAATCTTATCTTCCAGTCTCTTGACTATCTTAACTGGCTTGGCAATTAGAAAACTTGGCTACATCAAAGTTACTTGGGGATGCCATTAAAGACAAAACCATTATTATTTACATATTTTACATTCTGAAATAAACTAAGGGATGTATTTAGATATTCAGAATTGAGTATCTTTCATCAGGCTTCTCTGCCATTATCACTACTTATCAGACCCAAATAAATGATAACTAAGGCACTATGGAGGGCTAGGTGAGCTTGAATGTGAGTGAGAGACCCGTCAGCAGGGGACCTCAGCACCCGATGACATGAACAAGGTCAGAGCTGGAGGCAGAGCAAAGGGTTGAGTATCCTTATTTCTACCCATTGATAAGGCAGCAGCAAATCGCGTAGACTGAGGGACCACGAAGGTCTCGTGGGTATTAGAACCAAATGACAAAAGTCACCATGTCAGGACAGCTCTGATGGGACAGATTTGACGCGTCCACTCACAACACATGGATAACTATATCTTCAGAGTCACATATCAGATTCTACGCATTGTAAATGTTCCTCTAAGGGAGCAATAACTCACACTCGAGATTATTTTTGGACGCATTCGAGCTTGAACCTCTTATTTCCAAAACACACTCTAACGTTCCAATCCGTGATCTGGGCTCTTCGCTGCCAGTACATTCCAGACTCCACAGGTTCACAAGAGTTTTAGTCACCTAGGAGTAATCAGAACCAGCAGAGAGCTTTGTTCTTCTTCTTTTTGTTTTAAGTGAGGACATAGAAAGCTCATTTATCGGCAAGAGCTCCAGGTTAGTATGAAAAGTATTTCAAGCATAGATCACTTGTGACATCAAATGGACTGCACGTGTCATGAGAGTTTACTTTTTAAATAAAATCTCATGAGCAAAAATTGAAGGTGGGGTAAGCATATTACACGTTAATAATAAAAAGTGTCCAGTCGACAAAATATAAAAGGGAATTGCTCCATAGAAATCAAACTCCATAAACTATGGAGTTAAAAAAACAAACAAAAAAGGTTAAAAAATGCCAACATTATCAAACAACAACAAAAAGAACCAAGACTATCAAGCAGTGTGCTAGGCGAGCAGTTCTGAACAGTAACTGTTAAAAGAAATATTGTTCCTTCCTGGTAGCTTTTGTTCCAAAATGAACACTATACACAGGTACTAGCAAAGAAAAAGTGGGCAGACTTTTAATGCTATTGCCACCCCCTTTCTCCAATTCTCTGATGTCACCCTCACATTTCCAAAGTTTGTTAGCCATTTCTAGGGCTTTTCCTCCAGTTGTAAATTTGATAAACATGAAGAAAAAGACAGAAGTTGGAGGACAGTTTATGGAAATAGAAGTAAAACTGATGAGAACAGAAGGCTGAATCAGAGAGCGTGAATGAGGCGGTGCCACAGGTAATCCATCCATTTGTCCATTTTCTCTTTCTTCAGCAAATACTTACTGAGCCTCTTTTAAGTGCCCCACCCATGTTCTTCCAGGCACGACGGGCGCAGTGGGAACAAAACAAAGCACTTTCCTGTGGGGAGTTTATATTCTAGTGCAGGGGTTGGCCAACTCTTTCTATAAAGGGTCAGGTAATAACTATGTCAGGTTTTGTGCCCCATGGAGTCTCTGTCATGACTACGTAACTCCACCATGATAAGTGCCAAAGCTATCCTAAAAGGACAAAAAATGGCTATGGCTGTGTTCCAATAAAGTTTTATTAAAACAGATGGCAGATTTGGCCCTCAAGCCACCGTTTGCCAACCTCGGTTCTAAGGAAGGAGATAAGTAAATGTATAGTATCATTTCGGGTCATGATGAAGTGCCTTGAAGAAAAGTCAAACAGGCTAAGGGGACAGACAGCAATGGTGTGGGAGGCGGCCATTGTAGATTGTTACAGAAGGTCTTTCTAATGACAGTGAAGCAGAGCTTCTGACAAGGTGAGCCTGTCACAGAGGATGGGATCCAGCTCACAAGTGGAGCGCTTGACTCCAAATAAGAGTGTGGACAATTACTCTCTTCTAATAGGGAAGAGAAAACATAACGTTACGGAGGCCTGTAAGTGGGCCGAATGTGGGTCTCCTCCCTGATCCCTGATGAAAAGTGATAAGTAGGGTGACATAATCGCACTTACCCTCGTCTCCTGGTCTTGTATCTGTGCTCTCTGAAGACAATAAAGTCAGTAAGTATTGTGGGCAGATAAGAAATCTACAGAAAGAATTTAATAGCATTTTTAAAGAAAGCAAGCAATGTCATTGGGGAGGAGGTGGAAGTACTTTCAAGAGTGACTAGTGGACGGTGTGACAGCTCTGAGGGATACTATACAAGCTGGACATAGAATCAAAATCACTGCTGACCGAGAGCTCAAAGTCTGACGTGCAATGACAGTCATTACATAAGGAAGGTAGGAAGCTATCAGAAGAATTTAGAAAACGTTATTACAAGTTTAAATTTTATTTAACCAGCAATACTGTTTCTCCATGAGAGCCCCACGGGGTTCTGTGAAGGGCAAGTAAGAAGCGATACTTAAGGAGGGTGAACTTCCCTGTTAATATCTGCTGTCCAGAGATACCAACAAAGAGGCCTGTTGTTTAGTCCAATCGGGGTCATCGCTGGCTTGTCTCACGAAAGATACCAAAGTATAAGTCAACGAGGCCAAGTTTATGTAATCAAAGCTCAGGAGAGAATGTGTGATAGAGACAGCTGCTACACAGGAAATGATAGGGCATATAGTTTAGAACTGGGAACAGACATAATAGAGAAAAGTAAACATGATAATTAAGAATGTGGAATTAATTTCTAAGCTCTGAAGAACAAATAAAACCTTATTTTATGAGAAATGAGTTCTAGAAATCACTCATGTCCAGACAACACTGATACCTGTGCGAGTCAGAGCTAACAGCGCCTCTCCTGAAACAGTACATCACACCTGGTAGATACCTCGTGGGCGTGAACTATTTCAAAATAAGAGGGCAATGGGTCACGCTGTCTCAATCCCCACGCCTGCTTACAGCCTGACTGTAGATTGCCCAAAGTTCAAAACCTTTGCTCTTCAGGAACAACCAACTTATAAGGCAAAGTTGGCCCAAAGAAATTAGCAACTGACAAGCAATCTTCACTTTTAGACTTAATCTCAAAATATAAGAAATCCTGATTCAAGGTGATGTCGTCTTGGGGAGCAGCAGAGGTGGTCACACTGAGGAGCAAGCCCACTGGCCCTTCCGGGAAAGCCCAAGCTTGAGGGGGAAGCAATGGGGAAAAGGCAGTTGAATCACCAGCTATAACACTTATGACCAGGAAGTTCCTCACGGTCTTTCCAGCTGGGCAAATGACTCACTGTAATAATCTTGGGTACGTCGCTTACGTCACTTGAGTTCTAAGCACTCAACTTCCTTCCATCTAGTAACAATGACCTGACAGTAAGAAATCCTGAAAATCTGAGACAAGGCAAATTTTTTTTTTTTTATGATTACCAGCAGCTAACAGGAGTAGGTAACTATGAGGAAAAAAACAGGAAGAAAAGAAAGATCCATAAAGCAAAAGTAATTCATTCTGTATCATGGCATCTTCCTCTAAAAATGTTCTGTTTCAGCTATTTCAACATGGGAACTGGAAGAGTTAACTGAAGAAATAGGGTTCAATTCTTTTTCCACACAAACAGGTTTTCAAACTATGGCTCTTTGTCTAGGTGAGAATAAGTGTCCCAGTGTCTTGTACTGCGTGCTCATGACTTAGCGTCCTGATCTGCTAGTTGCGCTAAAGAACTCTTACCAAATATGACAAACGTTTGTAGCTCTCGGAGGCAAGACCTCACGTATTAGGATTGAGATTAGTGACTAGAAAGGAATGGGCTTCAGGCAAGTCTCTTTTCCACAATATAAAATGTAGATTAAAAAAATATTATTATTATTTTAATAAACCAAAAGAAGGAAAGAATATAACACAGGGGTTAAGTATTAGATCTTAGAATCCAACAGACCTGGCTTCAAATCCTGGTCCTGTTCACGAGCTGCAGGTGGAGGGGAAGCTACTTAATCTCTCGAAGTCTCAGGCTTCTCGTCTGTCAAATGGGGGTAGATGCCTAATCTGCGCCTATTACTGTAAAGGTTAAACAAGAAAAATGCATGTATAACAATTACATATAAAATTCATATGCAATAGTATCTGCTGCATAATTAAACTTGGTTTTTATAAGTGAGGAAAAAGTGGGCCTGTGTAACACAGTTTAGAGTAATTTTATTCATTTACTTTTCAGCTACACAGAGCTTTTAACAAATTCTTCATGCAGTTTCTCAAATTCGTCACAACCCCCCACCAAGCTTACAGCAGGTATCACACCCAGCGACCGGCTTCTCTTTGAGGACAAATGTAGCAGATATGTGAATTCTACACCAAATCCTATAGCTCGCCTCTATGTATTATTTCAGATCCCCCAAATATTCAAATTTTCAGTTATTCTGAAGAGGTTATTTGTCCATCAGACACCAAAATGTAGACTATTGTTCTGGCAAGTAGCTCGACTGACATCTAAGTGTTTAGCAAAGCAGGAATGCCGCAGGAAAAACGGGAAAAAGAAAGCAGAAGGACTAATCCTTACCTTCTTTAGCCTCAGAGTATAAATAATCGAGCCTTGTAATTACATGACACTTTGTGCTTTGTACAGTAAAAATAAAACAAAGGGCACTTGTAACACACACAGCTCATGAGCCAAAGGCACGCCTCCCAGCCCGTCACATTTCCTGAGCCAGGACTGGAGAAGTCAGGTGACTCGGCCAAAAAAAATCAACACCACACATTCACGGAGCGCCCAGAAGCCAGGACCGACGAGGCAGAGGTCCTGCCCTGTCACTGTGCTGGGCTTCTGCCTTCATTGCCTGTCAGGCCTCTATTGATGGCAACAGGAGCTGTGAGCATGGTGAGGAAAAGGGGATTGCTAACAAACGTCGCCCTGAATCCCGTCACACAGCATCGCAGGCCCATGAGAACACAAGCAGAATTGAACCTGACCTTTTTAAAATCGTCACGGTAACTTGGGTCCCTCTCTGAACTGAATGATGGCTCTCATTGGTTTTGTCTTCAATGTCCCTCACTGAATATTTATATTAAGTGGGTATTTGTTGTTATTGCTGTTTTGCCAATTAGTTCAATGACAACGACCATCTCCAAGTGGTCTAGGACGACTAAGCAGAGATGTTTTCTCGTTGTGAATCCTTTAGCCTATGAATGTTTACCTGACTTTTTAATGAATTCTTCACCTCTAAGGTGAATAGAGTTAAAAAGGACTTCTCAATCATAGGGAACTATTATGACAAATATAATTCGAATTACGGGGCTTGAAAAAAGTCATTTAATTCAGTGTCATATTTCTATGCAAAAAAATCTTGCCATTTATTAGACGTAAAGTCCATATTAATTATACACATACTATATCACTGTATGTATATAGATACACAAATACTTTTTCAGTATAAATCAACTTTTAAGTAATGTTATTTGGGAATAAGGATTTGGGTCAGGACTCTTTGATACCAAAATAACCAGGATTTTCCCGAAAACAAACGGAATGGACTCAGGATTTTAAGAGCTGCTGGAACATGTCATGGTAGCACATATGTGAATTCTGAAGAGCAAAGCAGCACTTCCTGTCCTTCACGAAGAATGGGCCGCCTTATTCCAGTGACTAACATGAGCGAAGGATGCAGTTAAACCAAAAGAGCTGAATGCAGTTCCAAAATTAGCGCTTCCGGAAGACCATGACAACTCATACTAGGAAAAAATCCTTCTTCAATTTTGATGACTCTTAGGGGGAAAAGGGGACAACAGCAGTGTTCCAGCCACTTCTAAACATGTGAGGTCTCAACAACCTACTTCAGTCCAGAGCGGCTGAGCCCGAGTCCACCTGTGTGCTTAGCTTTTTTGACCAGAAATGCCAGCCTGGGATGATCAGGTGACATAAATCAGGAGAACCAAGGAGAAAACCGGAGACCTGCCCGTGGCACAGCTTCTCTCGTAGCGTCAGTGTCAATGACATGACCCGAGGACCCCACGGAGGGCATGCCGATATTGGGGTTTGGAGGAGGCGGCGTGGAAGCTGCAGGAAGAGAATCTAGTTGAAGTCTGTTCTGCCTCATCACAGTCATGTTCGTCAGGACTCTTGTTGCAAATGGCAGAAACCCAATTAGAACTAACGTAGGCATCCACTGGCTCAGGAGAGCAAACGGGCAGAGGGCTGACAACACAATTGTCATCAGGGGCAGCTGCGCCGGGGATGTGAGTGCCGCCAGGTCCTCTCTCTCATCTCTGTCTCTGTCCGCAGGTCAGCCTCCTTCTCTGGGACCAGCCTCTCAGGGTGCCCACCGCATCTTCCAGCGGCTTCTTCTGGCTCCCATCTGACCAGCTTCCTAGCGAGAGAGGAGAACATTCCCCATAAACATTCCCCATATCACCTCCCTCGTCGTCCTCCATCCCTCTCCTCATCCAGGTTAAAAAAAAAGGGGAGGCAATATTCTGATCACCCAGGCTGTCTTCATGCATATATCAATTCCAAAGTCATTAACAAGCTGGGTCAGAAGGGATGATGTTATCAGTGCAGCTTAGGTCAAGTGGCCACTCTGAGGTCAGCCGGGGTAGCCCAGGAGATGGAGATCACAGATGAATCAAACATGTTGGCGGGGAGAGGAGCAGTTTTCCACGGGAGCACAGACACCCCGTGGGCAAGGCAGCCCCTTTTATACTTCGGCAAAATAAGGAGGCTAAAGAACTGGGCGTAAGACTCAGGATCTACTGAAGCTGTGCCTCCAGCACAGGATTCGATGTCCTTCAGGATGTCCTCAGCTATTAGCGTCACCATTAATAACTGGCCCTGCCTCCCAGCTGCCGAGAGAGGCTAACCATCATGCCAGTCAGGACCAGAGAAGCAGCACCGAAAGTGATAACCAGCTGATAAGGCGTTTCTCCCAGGCGGGCACCTGGGGCTCATTAGCACCTGCTGCTGGCATGGTTCTGGAAATCTCTCACGAGCTGGCTGCTAGTGGACCCCTACACTGGTCATCATCAAGGAAAGGATCGGCTGGGAAATTAGCATTCTTCACACAACACAATCTAACTTCTTTCCTTAAAGATGTAATGTGTGAGAAAACATGCATTGTAAAAATGTGTACTAAACAGAAGTAGATAAATGTATGGAAATGGTTATCTCACTGATTTATTTCACAAACATTCATTAGCTTATTCACTATGTAGAGAGAAATTCTGTTAGGTATTAGAGATACAATACAAAGATGAATATAATGATGCCTATCATCAAGCAGTAGAGACAAATACAAAACACATACATTAGATAGCAAATTCCATATCAGAAGTATGAATAGAGGGCCCTACGGACATGGAGGAGAAAGAGATCGCAACAAGATGTAGGAAAATGGAGACTTCCCTTGGTCCCCCCCACCCACCCTTGGGAAGACGTACATAAGGCTCTCTGTAGGAGGACG